AGAGAGAGTAAGCATCGGAAAGGACACAATTAGGCGTAAACCGACAATGCAACAGTGTGTCAATGAATACATGTGCCCTTTGAATGGCTTGTCCAGTGGTCCTGTCTCTGGCACAACAAGACCAAATCTTGGAATCATTTCGAACTAATTTTTGCACTCAAATTACGGTTTGTTTATAATTAAACCTAGCTATATTACAATTTCTGTAGACGCAAGCAATTTCCTTCCTCATTTTGTGGAGCAGATTCTGCAAAAATGACAAAACAAAAAAAATACAATCATAACATCTCTATGGGATCATAACTGGGTTAGCAATAGAAATTCCTGCTAGTATTATTTATTTGCTATTAATTAAGTTCAATTCATTAATTAAACCTTGATTATTAAAAAAATTATTAATTAGAAGCCATTAAATTAAGAGAAAATTTGTTTTTCCTAAGTTTCTGAATCCCGTATATGGTAGTACTAATAAAACATTAAAAGTTGTATATTTTGTAGTTTAAAACTTTAAATTATACTAAACTTTATAATAAAAATCATTAAATGAAGAACAGTTTCTAATATCACCAGATATTTGTTTTCATTAGTTTATGTTATATAATTTAAATTATATAACACTTTTTAAAAACATTTTTTTTCCATATTTACAATAAAAGTGTTCTCCATTTAACTTTTATTTACTTTAAGATCAATCTTTTTTCAAACAATTTTAAGAATATATCTCTCACATTAATATAATGTACTTAAAGAAATTATTTCCATTAAATAATAATAAGTACTCACCCAAAACTTAGACAGTAAACTTAGTTTACAAGAAGAAACTTGTTATCTCGGGGTGGAACCAACCCTTGGGTTACATTTTTGAAACACTATTAAATACGTAGAATTAAATTTTAATTTTGTCCTGAACTAATTACTGTGCATGGTGGCACGGTTAGACTGAACAGTGGCATTAATGTGTTTTTGTTGAAAACCAGTGGCTTTCTTGCACTCTTAAACCAATAAAAGCTCAAGACTCGTTCTTCCCATTTCCATCCAAACCCAAAACTTTTCCTTCTCCTCTTTTGAGTTCTCCCTTTGAATCAAAATGCAGAGGATCGCCGTGCTGCTGCTGCTACTACTACTACTACTTTGCACGTCTTCTCCCGTAGTCTTTTCCATCAAAGATGGTAAGAGTTCTTTAAAATCCTTACTACCATTCATTCAAATTGCCCCAGTTTGCTTGTATTACCAACATAAATTTGCTCATATTAATTACAAACTTTAAAACTTTGATTCTTGCTTATTATTTAAATTTAAATATTATGTAATTCAAGCATAAAATTCCTCTCATAGCTAAGTTGTGTCCTCATCAAATTTTTTATAGCATCAATTTAGCTGAGTTTTTTTTTTTTTTTAGATTCTCTCTAGTTAATCTCATGAATTCTAGCTCCAAGGCAGTAAGTCAGAGGGTGTACCTAAGTTGAAAGACATTTTTAAAAACTTTCATCAGTCTTCTGGTTTTGTTATATATTATTTTGGTCTATTTACTTCATCTTGGGCCCGGAACATAATTAAATTCAAATTCTGTTCAATTTCAAAGTTGGAAAACGTAAAAATGAACCTTCAGTTTGTAATTGTGGAACATTTAATACTGATACTATATTTGGGTTTGGGTTTTGTTAAAAAAATTTATGATAATAAATTCTCCGAAGGAATAAAGGCAAGTTTCAGTGAGGAAGGTAGATCCATGTAAATCTGTAATAGCCATCTCGTCGAGGCATTTGCTCACAACCCACGTGATCGCCCTGCAGCAGGGAACTGCCAAATAACGTGCATTTTTTTTTTTTTTTTGGAACATGGAGAATTTGAAGAATAGAGTATTTTTTTTTAAGCAATTAGTGAAAATTAAATTTTTAATCAATTAAATTTAAATATTAAGTTTTAAAAATGAATCATTGTATTCAAAAATTTAGTTCAAATAACGTGCATATTTTAGTAGCAGAATTTTGTTTAATTTTTATAAGTTAAAAAATTACGCAATCTGACTTTTTTTTTAAGGAAACAAAATCATATGAATAAATAATATTTTAGCACTAAATATTAATAAATAATATTTTTTTTTACTTAATATTTCTTTAAATAAATAATACATAACTAAAAATAATTGGTTTAATTTTAGCACTAAATATTAAGGTGATTAATAAGCAATTCAAACAATGATTAAGTGTCATTTTATAAATCTTAGGTTCAAAATTGAAATCTAATTGTTCAAATGAATGAATCTGAATGGGGACAAAGGTATGTTACCACATAATTTTGTTAGCTGGCTAAACTTTGAGATCATATCATATTATAAACGAATATAAGCCTTGGTTGTGGGAAAGAGACATCTAACAATGGCTTAAATCATATGCATCCATACTTCTCTCTTTACTCACATGCTCTGCGCCTCTGCCTACACATTGCATGTGATCCCAGCATAACCATTGTTTCTTTAATTTTGTGCTTTTTTTTTTTTAAAGAAGCCAAAATGACTTACCTCACGTGGTTTTGGGAATAGGCATTTAAATTTATAGGTTGTTTGGTAAAGTTTAAAAAATATTTACTTTAAATTATTTATTTTTTATAAGTTTCAAATTTTATTAAAAGAAAATAATAAAATTAATTTTTTAAGTGAGTTTTAAATAAAATTTGAAAATGTAACACATTAAATTTTTTTTAAAAACTTACTTAAAACTTACTTTAAAAGATAAATTTTGAATTTTTCTTTAACAAAATTTTAAATTTATAAGAAATAAATAGTACTTTTTAAGATTTAATAAACACTCTCGATTTTTGAATTTTTGGACTTTTGTTAAAAGGTTTGCTATCGAAGGATATTCGCAAATTTATGATAATATTATTCTTGTCACAAATTCTCACAATCTTATATAATAGTTCATATGAATGACTGATTCAATTTTAGATTTCTCATATAGCGTCTAAAATATAAATTACTGATATATTGAAATTAAATTCCAGGTTTGCTGCCTAATGGCAACTTTGAGTATGGTCCAAAGCCATCCGAACTAAAAGGCACAAAACTGATGAGCAGCAATGCCATACCCAACTGGGAAATCTCAGGCTTTGTTGAGTACATCAAGTCCGGTCAAAAGCAGGGTGACATGCTGCTCATCGTCCCGGAGGGAGACCACGCTGTTCGGTTGGGCAACGACGCACTTATTAAGCAAAAGGTTAAGGTTATCAAGGGCATGAATTACGCCATAACCTTAAGTGCTGCCCGCACTTGTGCCCAGGAGGAGAGTCTGAACATCTCAATATCTCCAAATTCGGAGAAAAATGACGATGGAGTTTTTCCAATTCAGACAATGTACAGCAGCAGTGGCTGGGATTCCTATGCATGGGCTTTCCAGGCATTTGCTGCTGAGATAGAGATTTCAATCCACAACCCCGGCGTAGAGGAGGACCCTGCTTGTGGCCCGCTCATTGATTGTGTGGGTATTAAGACCCTGCATCATCCCAAGCGTACTGGAGGTAAGAACAAGATTTTAGGATCTAGTGTTTAATGTGATTCTATTAAATTCATTTTCACTAACTTGTTAGCTTCAAATTTGCAGTTAATTTGTTGAAGAATGGAAACTTTGAAGAGGGTCCTTATGTCTTCCCCAACACCCCATGGGGAGTGCTAGTTCCACCCCACATTGAAGATGATCACAGTCCTATCCCCGGTTGGATCATTGAATCCCTTAAAGCTGTTAAGTACATTGATGCCGGTCATTTCTCTGTTCCAGAGGGGAAAGGGGGAGTAGAACTTGTTGCAGGAAAAGAAAGCGCCATTGCCCAAGTGGTCAGGACAATGCCTGGGAGACACTATGTCCTCTCCTTTGCCGTTGGTGATGCCAATAACAAATGTGAAGGTTCCCTGATAGTGGAGGCATTCGCAGGGAGAAACACTGTTAAGGTTTCGTACGACTCCAAAGGCAAAGGAGGGTGCAAGCGTGGAAGTCTTGCGTTCACAGCAGACTCGACACGCACTCGCATCACATTCTACAGCACATTTTACACCATGAAGAATGACAACTCTGGTGCTCTCTGTGGGCCGGTGCTGGATGATGTTTCACTGGTTAGCGTCCGGAAATTACATAGCCCATAAACTATTGTTTACTTAGTTGCTTTGCTTATGCAACACATGATTGATCAAGTTAAGTTATGTTTACATACTTTTAGGAGTTTCTTGTCACAGAAGCAAGAGGCGTTTGATGAGCTTTACCATGTTCCATTTGTGTATTGATCTTTCTTAATCGAGTGGAATGAAGTTCTATGTTCAACAAACATTTACTATGAAGTTCTTTTGCGTTGTAATTGGAAAAACGTAAGTTAAAAGAACAAGACAATAAAAAAAGGAGAGCTAAGAAGCAGTAGTACATCTTTCAATTAAATGCTGCTTCAGTAGCCAAAACACACATCATACAACAGAGAGCAAATGTTTTCCGTTTTCATAAAGTTTATACAAGCAGCTTATTGTGTACTCTCAGAAAAGAAATATACGACTGGAACATCTATTGTTTTGTCTCTAATTAGCATGACCATCCAATGGCAGAAGAGTCAATAATAACTAGATTGTCTAAGGAATCTATTATTACCAACTTATGCACTCTCAAGAGCATATATATACACACTATAATCAGGAAGCCGTGAAGGGATTAATTGACAACATCTAGCACCAATTTTCGAGATTTGAAAACTGACCATTTTAAACGCCTGTAGTAAGCTGCTTGGAGAAGTGCAAGTGACAGCACAAATATCCACTTGAAACCAATCTGTTCTCATTTTTCCAAACAATGTCAGAAAATTTTATCATAAATAAAAAACTGTCTCGTGTTATTGAAGATGGCAGTTCACAGTATATATCTTATACCTCCTGTATTTGGGATGTCTAACATCCAAGTGTCAAAACTCAAGAATAAGGTCCTAATTATGCTGAAAATCAATATCATTTTGTGATGAGATGACTTTAGTTTTCCAGTTTGAGCAAAAGTCAGAAATCAAACAATTATACCACTTAATGCCATATAGGCAATTCTTAAGTAAATCACAAGCACTAAATGCAAAGATTAAATAGTTCACTATTACAATGCTAAAATATCCAGTGTCATAAATCAATTACCAGCTTTCTCTCTTCCATTTCTGGCTCAGCAGCCCACGATAAGAATGATACGACGTCTTTTCCCATCTGTGGCAACAATAGGAAAAGAATGTTACAACTTAGAATCCTAGATTTAGCTAGTGAAAAATGAAATATCAAATAAAACAGGACCGATGAGGAAGATTACTAATTACCTGGGACTATGTTGCCAGGGTACCATCTTCATATTCAACAGCACCATCATTCAGCATTTTTGGCATAGCTATTGCACCACCAGGAAAGTAAGGATTATAATACAATCCTCCTCGGATCTAGAATAAGAGAGCAGTATATTATAGTGCATTAATGGAAGCAAGATGACAGTAGTTAAATCTTTTCTTTTTCCCACAAGAAGCTAATGTCACTTGTGATAGGATGATATACTAAAAATTCCCCAT